GGCACCGACCCACGCACCCCCCCGCGCCCCGCCGCGCTGCCCCGCGCTGATGCTGCAGCTCCTCCGCGCCCCCCCCGCCCCGCTCCGCGCCGCCGCCGCCGCCGCCTTCAGCCTCTCCCCGCACGGTGAGTGGGACCGCGGCCCCGCCATTCCCTCTCCTGGGACTCGCACTGTCCCCGCGCGTCCCTCTCCTGGGACCCGCACTGTCCCCAGGCCACCTCATCCTGGGACCTGCCGTGTCCCCGGGACCCACACCATCCCCGCACATCCCGGTCCCCGGGACCGATACAGTCCCCGCACATCCCTGTCCCTGCCCACTCTGTCCCCGGGCATCCCTGTCCCCGGGACCCGCACTGTCCCCGGGACCAGCACCGTCCCCGGGCATCCCTGTCCTGGGACCCGCACTGTCCCCAGGCGACCTCATCCTGGGACCTGCCGTGTCCCCGCGACCCGCACCATCCCCGCACATCCCTGTCCCTGCCCACTCTGTCCCCGGGCATCCCTGTCCCCACAACCAGTATTGCCCCCGCGACCCGCACCATCCCCGCTCATCCCTGTCCCCGGGACCGGCACCGTCCCCGCACATCCCTGTCCCTGCCCACTCTGTCCCCGGGCATCCCTGTGCCAGGGACACGCACTGTTCCCGGGACCAGCACCGTCCCCGGGCATCCCTGCCCCCGGGACCCGCACTGTCCCCAGGCGACCTCATCCTGGGACCCACAGTGTCCCCAGGACCCTCACTAACCCCGCACATCCCCACTCTGTCCCCAGGCATCCCTGTCCCCGAGACCGGTACTGCCACCGCGACCCACACCATCCCCACTCATCCCTGTCCCCAGGACCGACACCGTCCCCGGGCATCCCCCTCCCCATCACCAGCACCATCCGCTGCCTTCCCCCCACCCTGGGGGTCCCGGTGCAGCAGGGGGAGGGCAAAGCCGGGGGTGCCCTCACCGTGCCCCTTGGGTTTCAGGCTCCCTGCAGAACGGCTCCCGCTGGGCGCTCTCCTTCGACATGTCCTCCCTCTCCAGCAGCCAGGAGGTGAGTCTGGCCCAGCTCCGCGTCCGCCTGCCCGGCCTCTCTCCATCCCACCTGGACATCTACCACAGCCGGCGGCAGAGGTGCCGGGGCGGCGGGGCCTGCGCCCACCAGCTCTTCCTGGGCACCGTGGCCGGTAGCCCCTCTTCCACCCAGGCCTCCTGGAAAGTCTTTGAGGTCACCAGCCTGCTCCGGTCCTGGCTCCATCAAGCCGTGGGCCCCCAACACCACGGTCCCACGGGAAGGGAGCAGTGGGAGGGAAGTGGGGCGGCCACCCCGGCCACCACAACGATGCACTTGCCCACCTCAAGTGACACCGGCCACGGGGAGCCAGCCCTGCCCCAGGACGTGACGGACGGAGTCCTGCTGCTCGTCTTCTCCAGGGACAAGTCTCCAGGAGACCACAGCCTCATCAGGACGGCCGAGACCTCCAAGCACGTCGTGCGGGACAGCGGCTCCCCGGGCGCGGGGACGCGCCGGCACCGCAGGAACAGGAAGGAGAAGCAAAGGATCAAGGCGAGCGAGGCCGTCGCTGCTGCCCCCCCCGGGGAGGAGAGCAGGTCCCTCTGCAGGAGGGTGGACATGATGGTGGACTTCGAGCAGACCGGCTGGGGCAGCTGGATCGTCTACCCCAAGAAGTACAACGCCTACCGGTGTGAAGGGAGGTGTCCTTCACCCGTGGATGAGACCTTCAAGCCCACCAACCACGCTTACATCCAGGTAAGAGGGGGTGGCTGCCCCCGCTCCCCCCAGACACCCCAACCCCTCCGTCCCACAGCAGGGGGGTGACGCTCTGCCCTTCCCCTGTCTCCCCCACAGAGTTTGCTGCAGCTCTACAAGCCCAACCAGGTGCCCTGCCCCTCCTGCTCCCCGGTCAGGATGAGTCCCCTCTCCATGCTCTACTACGAGAAGGGAGAGATCGTCGTCCGCCACCACGAGGACATGATCATCGAGGAGTGTGGCTGCAACTGAGGCCGGCTCATCCCCCGCCAGGAAGGGGCACATCTCTGCCCCAAAAAGTGTCCCCGTGGGCTGCCCAGCACACACACCGGGGCATCGCTGAGCCCCCACTGCCTCCCAATCCCGCCTGCCCGTGGGTGGGTGAAGCCCTGGCTGTGCCAGGGGAGGAGGAGTGGGGTGTCCCACGGCGCAGGGATGGACGCGGGCTGCGTGCGGGGAACCCATCAGAGCCCTGGCAGCAGCAGCAGCAGCAGCAGCAGCAGCGGGGCGGTGGGTGCCGAGGGCTGGTGCTGCTCCGCAGAGACAGGAGCCAGGACGCAAGGGCTGGAGCCACCATAGCATCGCTCCCTGCCACCACACACTCCCCCAGAGGAGCTTTTAATTCTCCCCTGGGCCTCTCTTAAGACTGCTATTATATCTCTATTAAAACTCTATCAGATTTCTATTACAATCAAGGCGAGTTAACGTGTTAGCCCGGTGTCCAGACGGCAGAGCCACGTGGGCAGCAGCAGGCAGGGGTTCATCTCAGCCTGATCCTGCCCTGAAAAACCCAATCTGAGCCCGGCCCCGGGGGTGACGGAGCCAGGAGGAGCTGGCTGGCAGCAGGCAGGGAGGCAGCAACCTCCATCACCCACACTCCTCACCCAGGGAGTGATGCAAAAGATGGATCTGGGGCTCCCGCATCCCTCCCCAAAGCAGCATCCGTTCACCAGGAGCCCAAGAGGGTTTGCACGGGTAATAATGAGGTGTCCTTGGCAATAAGGCAGCCCCACGGTGGGTCTGAGCCCCCCCAGCCCTCCCACCTGCCCCGAACACCTCGGCTCACACACTGCTTTCCTCTGTAAAACCACGGCTTTGCTCAAAGCTTTTCCACGACTCACTGGATGGGGCTTGTGGTTGTGTAATTCAATAAATTATATATATTAAAAATGCCTGCTAGACTCTGATTTCCCCAGCCCATTTTTGCTGCAGAAATGGGGTCTCGGGGCGCAATTCTCCCCATCCCTCTGTCCATCTGCTGCACCCAGAGGCTCTCCCTGCCCCGGGATCTGGCTGCAGCCTGCCCGCAGCTCCGGGGCCTGCAGTTGCCATATGGCTAGCAGCTAAAACCAGCACAGCCAGGCAGCAACACCCAGGGTGGGTGGGCTGCCACCGTGACTTGCTACAGCAAGGTCGGGGGGGAGGCTGGAATGAAGCAAAAGATGCTCAACAGCTCTGTGAAGAGGGAAATTGGGGTGATGTGAGGAAGCAGCTGCTCCCACCCCCATGGGGGGGCTGCTCAAGAGCGAGCGGGGAAGCACCTGCAGCCCGTGAGGAGAAGGGCTAAGGATTTTCCACCTTTATTTGCCCCTTGGAGATAAGGGCAAGGGCCATATTCCCTAACAGCCATGATTTTGAGCCAGGCGCAGTGCCCAGCGCAGGCAGCTCTCCTTTGGGGTGCCCACCCCCAGGGGTGGTGGGGCTGGGAGCTCTGGGTGATGCTCGGGGTCTCAAGTGCCCTCGGGGTGACCGTGCCCCCCTGCGTGCCAGCCCTGGGGGGTGACACTCCAGCGAGGGTCCATCCCTGGGTCCATCACCCCATCGCAGCCGTGGGTCTGGGGTCCCCCAGGGCTCACACTGCCCCCTCCCACGGCTGTGGAGGGGGACCCACTGCCTGTCCCCGGGCTATACACAGCCGAGGGGACAGGCGGGTGGCCGGGCCGGGGCCATCCCCATCCCTCCCCTCCTGGGACCAGGACCCCATTCCACATCCCGGCCCAGCCTGATTATCCCCAATCCACATCCCGGCCGGCGGATAAACAAAGCGCGTCTGGTTCCCCCCTCCCTTACATATTCCGACAGCGCTTCACACTGCGGCCAGCCCGTCATTAGAGGGTCATTTGCAGGAGCTGTCAAAGGGTGGGCGAGGGAGGTGTGGGCTCACCCCTGGCAGGAGCCAGATGTGCACAGAAATCTGGAGATCTGGGCTCTGGATGAAATAAAATTAGATTTTTAAAATTTTTTTTCTTTTTGCCTCCTCCTCCACAGGTTTGCTACTCCCTCTCAGAAACTGCTGTCACACCAGCAGTGGGGCCAGGGGGTTTCACTCTCCCACGCTCACCCTCCTGCCCCCCCTCGCCCTCCCCAGCCCCCCGGGTCCATCAGCCTCGCTGGGAGCTGTATCTCTGCGACCTCTGCCCCCTCCATCAAACCTGTCTGGGATGGGGCAGCGGGTTCAAAAGTTGTGGTGGGGCAGGGGGAAGGCAGCAGCCCTGCCCTGGGAAGAACGGGGTGGAAAAATAAAGGCTGCAAGGAAAACATCAAAGCATGGAGGGTGACAATAAAGCTGCACCACTCTTCTCAGGACACGTATCTTGTGAGCCCAGCTTTGCAGGGCTTGGGCTGCGAGCAGAGACCTGGTCCCCGAGCAGAGACCTTGGTGCCTGTCCCTTCTCCTGCCCCAATACACATCAGCCGGTGACAGAGGGAGCCCAGACACCAGGACAATAAAGTGGGGGTCCTGCCCCGTGGGCTGCCCTCCTGCAGGCACGGCCAGGCCCCGCGCTCAGCACCTTTCCAGTGACTGGTGGGACCTTCAGCATCCCTGGAGCACAAGCTGCTGGGGCAGGGACACTGCCCACGGGTGGTGGGACAGCAGGAAGGGGACACGGGGGCTTTCACCCCACTCCCACTGCCCTGGCAGGGAATGGTCCGGCTGGCACACGTGGCCAGACCCTCCTCTTGCACGCAGAGATGCTCTTGTGAGCCTCCCCTGGGCAGAAAGGACCGGCTTTTGCACCAGTTTCTCAGTGGTGGTTTTGCTGCAGAGCAGAAACCCCACCGTGGGTGCTCGGGGAGCATCTTGTAGCCCCCCCAGAGTGTTGGGGAGCTGGCAGGATCTCTGCTCTTGGAAGGGCTGGCTCGGCTTTAACATCCTTCCACCTTGGCATGGGAAGGACAGAGCCTTCCCGGTGCAGGGGAAGTTTTCTGGTGGAAAAAGCACCTGGGGTTTTTCAGGAGCTGGATACACACAGCAGCCTCAGCCCGGCTGGGGTGAGGATGAGGAGCTGCAGCCCTGCCTGCCTCCCAGCTTCCCTCACCATGCACGGGGTCAGGCCCTGGCAGCCCCCGGGTCCCCCCCAAAGAGGAGCAAGAGCAGTGCCCGCCGCTGGCGATGGCACCGAGCCACAGCCACCACCGTCCCCGGTGCCAGCCGGTGCCCGTCCCTCGGGAGGAACAGCCGGTGGCCGGGGAGGGAGCTGGGACAGGGTTTACTTTGGAGGCAGGAGGAAAGAGAGAGAACAAACAGACCGAGGGGTTTATCAAAGGCCCAGGGTAATATTTGTACAAACGGCGGCTGGAGGCAGGAGCTGGGTCAGGCCAGGGCTGTTCGTCCCGTGACCGGGACACGGAGCAGGACGCTGCTCTGCCCGAGACAAAAAGGGGCAGGGACAGAAAATGCGATGACAAAGCCAACACTTGTCCCTCGGACCTCCCCGGAGCGTCCCAGCTGTGCAGGGCAGCCACCCACAGCTGCCTCCCCTCCCGCTGAGCCTGCCTGAGTAGCCACACCGCAGCCTCCACTTGCCCGGGGGCTCAGCCCCCCCAAGAAGGGGCTCATTTCCCCACAAAAGTGGCCCCAGTGCAGGAACCAGGGGAGGAACAAACCCCACTCGTGCAGGGACCTGCCCAGGAAACACTGAGCTGCTCCTTCCTTGCATGGCTTTGGCAAACTTGTGATACCTCAGGCAGATTTGATGTAGTTTATGAATGGTTAAACTGTAGAGAACCTTCTTTTAGAGAAGAAATGTACCTATTCTAGCACAATCTTCTTTTAGAGAAGAAATGTAGCTATTCTAGCAACCATCCCAAACAGTTTCAAAGAGTTAGTAAGATGAGAAAGGATGTCTGTGAACATGGTGACCTAAGACAGGGATGCAATCAATATAGACATTGTCTGATGAACAGGTGGTAGCAGGGAGATCATTAGTTTTAACGAGCAGTTAAGCAGTTAGAATGTTTTGCCAACATGAAAAAGTGAGCCAAAGGCCAGGTGAAGAAGATTGAGGAAGAAATGACCCTCCCTCCAAATGAGGACCACCAGAAAGCACAACTATGCATGCCCCAAAGCTTATTGCTCCCTCCAAATGAGGACCACCAGAAAGCACGACTATGCATGCCCCAAAGCTGCTTATAATATGTAAATGAATTCTTAGAAATGTAATGAATGTGCTTATGTTTTCTTGGAATGACATTGACTATGTGTACCTGTTGTGTATAAATTTAATTTGACAACAGTATTCGGGGTGCGCAGCAGGAGGAGCGATCCCCTGTGCACAATACAGATTTCCTGCTTTCTGAACTTTGCATTGGGTCTCAGAAAGTTTTATCTGCTGGTTTGTGGGAACTCTTGGAGCATGAACCCCTGCAGGAGACGGGTCCAAAAACACCCCTTGGAAGGATGTGGGAGACAAATGTCAAAGGCTGGGGGGGGGGACACTGAGACAATCCACGGGTGGAGGGGTTCCAGGTGTGGGGTTTGGGATGAATTGCCCCACAGGAGACGCACACGAGGATGTCACAGCACCTCATCACATGTCCACAGCCCTGGTGGCAACTCACCGATGTGCCCATGGCCTCAGGGGAGCCAGCAGGAGACCCCCCCCAGATCCCCCCCTCACACCTGGCCGGGTGCTTGGCAGGGTGCTCCCCCTCTCTCCGAATTATCGGCTCTCAATTGCCTTCGGAGGCACCTGGCGCTTTGATGCTCCCCCCGGATCTGCATCAGGAGGCAGATACCGATGCAAAGCTGCCACGGGCACGGACCAAACACTTCACACTTAAACACTTGTTCCCCTGGAGCAGGGGGGGGCAGAATTTAAAAGCATCACTCGCCGTCACTTTTGTACCAACATCAAACCCCGTTCCCAGCTGGACCACCACGGGTCAGAAACTGGGCAAGGCTGAAATCGGCTTGTTTCCCCCCAAAGAGCCACAGCCCCTGCCTGTGCACCTCCGAGAGGGGTCTGGGGTCTCAGGGTGAACCCCCCTCCCATGAACAGACACCCTTTTCCATCAAACCCCAATTGCCAGGGGTCCCACCAACCCAACCCTCCCAGCCACAAAGCCCCCCCTCCAGCAACAACCACCAACGTTTGGGTTTGGGCAGAGCAGGAAAACAGAGACTTAATTCTGGGGCTGTGGCAGCTTTTCCAGCCTTCCCTAAAGTAACCGGCTTTGGGCAAATTAACATCAAGGTGGGAAGTCTTCCCAAACCCAGCTCTTCCACCTCCTCCCCCAGGGGCTGGAGGTCGCTGTGGTGGGTGGTGACCAGAGACCAGGGGGGCTCTGAGGACACGGGAGTCTGAAGGGTCCCACAGGGACACAGTCTCATGGTGCCCATTTCCAGCTGAAAATATTAATTGAGCCAAAAAAGACAAGTCGGGGGCAGCTGGAGCCTCCCAGATTCCAGCAGCTCCTCTCTGAAGGCACATCCCACCAAAACCCAGCAGCTGGTGGCCGGGCTGATAAAGTGACACCCGAGGGCAATAAATTTGAATCTGTCCCCATTAAGGCTTCAGAGAAACACTTTTAATCTTATCTTTCTTTTTTAAAAAAAAAAAAGCAAGTTTATCTGCAGCAATTGCTTTGTCTCTGCTCCTTCTGTTACTCATTATTAAAAGCCTGCATATCATAATGCCACAATTGAGCCTAATTAGCAGGTATTTCAATGCTATCTGCCACGCAGCTGAGCGGACACTCATTGTCTTTTGGGAAGTCTGAGGCCGTGTCCTCGGATCCGTTCTCCTCCTTGAGGCACCTCAACCACCAGCCCCAGGAGATGCCACCACCAGCAGCAGCGTCTCTAAAGCAGCAACAGGGCCCTGGGGTTAGAGACGGCCCCAGAACCCGCTTATGAAACCTCACTGGAACGAAGATACTCGCCCTGGGGGCCCACCTCGCCCACCCCCCGGGCAAATTACTTTCTCAGATGAAAATTCCCCCCCTCAAAACCAGACGGACTCATTTCCGATCTCCCCACTAAGGCCCTCTCCTCCAAAGGTCAGTGGGAGTCAATCCCTGCCCCACCAAGTCATGGAAAGGAGAAATAAGTATAAAACAACCCCAAAGTTTCAGCATGGATTAAAAAACCAGCAGAAAACACTCCAGTTGAGCATTCACTCACCTGCCAGAGGAGATCCGTGCCTTCAGGAAGCAGGAGCTGGGGCAGAGCTGGAGGCTCAGGCTTTCCCCAGCAGGAGAAGGCAGCTCAGAGTGGAGACCCTCTACCCAGCTCAGCTACAGGTGGCTCCTCTTAAGCCAATTTCAGCTGCTTCCACCCCAAACCTGACCCAGCCCTGCCCCTCGTGGGGTGATAGAAAAGGAGCTCAAACACCTGCAGCAAAAGAACCATCTGGAAGCAGATTTTGATAACTATTTCTGGCATCGGGCTCGGAGCCACTGAAACCTCCTGTGGTGACGGGGTGCTGCAGGTGGGACACAGAGACCTTCTGCCAAGAGGGGTTAAAGCCTCTCAGCCTTTGTCTTTTGGGGAAACCCAAAAGCACAGTGTTTATCTGTCACTGAACCAGCTGGGTTGGAAGGGACCTTTGAGATCATGGAGTCCAACCACCCACCCAGCACTGGAGGGACCTTTGAGATCATGGAGTCCAACCAACCCCCCACCCAGCACTGACAAAGCCACCACTGACCCGTGTCCCTCAGCACCACATCTGCCCAGCTTTGAAATCCCTCCAGGGATGGTGACCCCACCACTGGGCAGCCTCCTCCAGCATTCAATAACCCTTTCAGTGTAGAAACTTCTCCTGAAGGCTTTACACAGGACCACCCCTTCCATTTTTCTGCCCCGGGGTGGTGAAAGGACAGGAGTGAAGGACAGGAGCCGTGTTTATTGCAGTCATCTCCATACCAGGAGACTCCAAATGATTTTTATTTCTCCCTTGTATCGCATTTCTGTCACTTTTACAGTATTAAAATGATTAACAAAAGAGAAAAAAAAAAAAGCATAAAAATGGAAACAAAACCAATCATTGAGAGTGTCTCCTCCGGCACCCCAAGGCCCGTCCTCGGCGGGGGCTGCGCCGGGGGCCGAGGCTCAGCCCCGAAACGGGACACGCTCCGTCCCCGGGGGGGAAGAGGGGCCCTTCCCGGGAAGCAGGAAGGCACTCACTCAAGGCACGGGCTGCGCCGGAGCCTGGCTGGTGGGAATCCTCGAGACAAGGTCCTGGTTCTTCACTGGGTGAGCACTCCGGGGGCGCCGGTGTTAGATGTCCATGTCAAACTGCTCCTCCTCACCTGCCGAGGGGGACAAAACCCAAGAATTACTCCTCAAAGTTACCAAATGTTTTGTTGAAGAAACAACCGTCAGGGTGTGCTTCAGAGATGTGGAAGGTTGGACTTCAAAATCTGCATTCAGGCATCGATTTTGATATGGAAACCACCTTGTACAAGCAAAATGTCCACCCTGGGGATCGCACAAGAGCAAACCACCTTGTACAAGCAAAATGTCCACCCCGGGGATCCCACCCAGACAAGAGAGGAGCAGAGGATGCCCTTCAAGTCATTTATTTCTATCCCTGGATTTCCTTGTACAAGGGAACGTGAAGAATAACACTGGTGACAGCCACTGGGACAAAATTCTGTTACAGAGACACATCTCTTCCAGCTGCCACCGCGGCTCAGGTGGCTGGAGAGGACACCCATGAGGGGCAACGATCTGCTCCTGGGGCTCCTCCGGGAGGGTGACACCAGGCTGGCACCCAGCCCACGCTGCCAGGGAGCCCAGCGAGCCACCAAAGGTCACAGGAGTGTAATGAAGCAATATTGACCTGGGGCAGATTGTGCTTAGAGAGCGCGGGGGAGGCAGCTGATGAGCGTTCAGATCTTTATTTTTAGAGAGAAGATAAATAACGGTACGCGGCAGCTGCAGGTTCCTTCAAGAATTGATCTCATGTAGCCTGCAAAAAACCACCTGTTGATGAGCAGAAGTTGCTCACGTTGCTCCTACAGCGCCTTTAGCTACGTGTCAATGTGCAGAAAGTGGGCAGTTCTGTTCTCCTGACTCCTCCTCGCTCGCCCCAAGTGCTCAGTTAATGGGAATTAAGTGATTGTAACAAATTATATATCCAAGTAATTGAAAAGAGTCCCATTACTGGGGACCACAGCAGAACCTAACAACCATGAGAACCTAATTACTGAGTAACACCAGGCACATTTTGATTCTGTAAGAAGTCATCAGGGTATTGGTAGAGGATGGGGCCAGGCTTTTTCAGTGGTTCCCAGTCACAGGACAAGAGGGAACGGGCACAAACTTGAATGTAAGAAGTTCCACCTAAAGATGAGGAGGACTTTGTTTGCTGTGAGGGTGGCAGAGCCCTGGCAGAGGCTGCCCAGGGAGGTGGTGGAGTCTCCTTCTCTGGAGACATTCAAACCCACCTGGACACGTTCCTGTGGGACCTGCTCTGGGTGCACTCACCTGCGCTCACTTTCTCATCACAGGTTTGGACGTGGTTGTTCTCAATCTTCAACTCCTCCACGTTGGGGCTGGTGACACCTGGAATGTCCGGAAGGTCAGAAGGTGGTGTTTTGGCAATGGGAGAATTGCGGCACTCCATCAGAAACTTACGGTCGTAAATAATCCTGGTACCTGGGGGGAGAACAAGGGCACCGTCAGGGTCTTTTTTAGCATTTTGGGGCAGGAAATACAGCTGGGCCGTCTTCACAGCTGGGTGTGTAAGGCAACAGGAGTCACCTTTAAAGTCATACTTATTATTTAGCACTTTTTTTTTGTCCTACCTTAAAAAACCTCCAATGTCATTAACATTATTTGCCAAAAAAAGTGTGAAAGCATCAGGTACCCAAGCAACAGCCAATGCTACCGCTGCCTGGAGAGAGCACAGGGCTCCAAACCCCAGCCCAACCCTGCACGTGACAGATCCAGCCCCTTCCACCCAACCCAGGGTCACAACAACCCCTAAAGGGAACAGTAAATTGAATTTAATTTCTGCTCATAATCTCAACAGCCTTTTCCATCGGGGGCTGAGAGCTGTGGGGCACACACCAGGGACAGGACGTGGCCGTGCCTCCCTCTGTCACCGAGGGCTGCCCAGCAGAAACTCCTGCACCTCCAAGAATGGCCCTTTCCAAGGACTCGAATGCAGGGAGTTGTTAATTCCTGGTTTTAATGGTTAACCAGACAGCGGCCGACTCTCCCCACCCCACGTGGGACCAGCCGGCCCCAGCGCATCGCAGCCAGCCTCTGCTCCAGGCACGGATTTCTAGGAATACCACTGGGCTGAACAGCCCGTTCCTTAGAAAGGAATTGCACTGGAAAGAGCCCAAAAACCACAGGCAGAAAAGGGATTCCTCCAAAAGACCGCAGCCTTAACCCAGAAAGTACTGAAAAATAAATAGATCAGCTTTTTCTTCCCCGAGAGCAAACCCCCTTTTCTGTACCCTGTTCCTGCAAGAGGGAAAGGCAACTTCTCCTTGTGTACTCCCTGGAAAACTTTAACTAAAAATACACCCACGCAGGGAAACAGCCTCCCAGTAACATCTGTCCAGGAACATTAATCTCTATTTTGAAGCACGGCCATAAAATAACGTAGCTGGAGATCACGTTTCAAGAAAAGTCCCGCTAATGAGCTCCCAGAATGCTGGGAACCTTCTCACTAACAGATTCCTGAATTTGAGTGGCTTCACCGGGCTCAAGGGGAGACCCAACCCGCCCTCAGGAGCGTGCTCTGGGGTTGGGAAGTCTGGGAGCCGAGTGTGAAATTCCTGGGAGGTTCCTGGGAGCGAGGACGGGGCTTCCTAGAAGCAGAGCTCGAGTCCCGGGTATCGGGAGCACGGTTCGGGCGGGCACGAGCCTCCACGGCGGGTTCACGTTCCTCTGCTGGTCACATGCCCGGGGCTTACGAAAGGGACACGGGGCAGGACCCAGCCCGGGCTGGCAACAGGCTCGGCCCCCGGCCCCACACGGGCTCCTTCCAGGGTGTCGGGCTGAGCTGAGAGCGGTTTCTCCTCCGGTGGTGGGAGAGGCTACACCCCGGGGCACTGCCCTGCTCCCCGCTCACACCCCGGCCTCACCACCCCCCTGCCTCCACGTGCAGCTCGGGAAACCCGGCTAAAAATTTGGCTCACTTGGAGTATTTTCATCAGGATGAGGCACTAGGCTTGGAGAAGTCCCCACGTAACACCACCTCGCTCCGTTCCTGCACCCCGAGCTTTGCTGCTCTGTCCCTGTCCCCCCACCTCCTCGCGGCGCGTCGGGCACCTGGGCTGGGGAGGGACGGAGCTGGGAGGACTCCCCAGATCCTGCCACACGTGGGCTCTGCCTAAAGACCACGTGTGTGAGCCCTCGGGGAGCGGGCGAGGAGCCAGGACGGGCACAAAGGGAATACTGAGAGCAGACCAGGCTTAAAGGTCACACATCCTGGTGGCCAAGGAGGCCAATGGCATCCTGGGGGGCATCAGGAAGAGTGTGAGCAGCAGGTGGAGGGAGGTCATCCTGCCCCTCTGCTCTGCCCTGGGGAGGCCCCAGCTGGAGCACTGGGACCAGTTCTGGGCTCCCCAGTTCCAGAAGGACAGGGAACTGCTGGGGAGGGGACAGCAGAGGCTACAAAGATGGTGAGGGGCCTGGAGCATCTCTCTGCTGAGGGAAGGCTGAGGGACTTGGGGCTTTTGAGTGTGGAGAAGAGAAGGCTGAGGGGGGATCTGATCAACACCTCTAAATACTGAAAGGGTGGGTGTCAGGAGGATGGGGCTGGTCTTTTTCCAGTGGTGCCCAGGGACAGGACAAGAGGGAACGGGCACAAACTTGAACATGGGAAGTTCCACCTAAACATGAGGAGGAACTTCTTTGCTGTGAGGGTGGCAGAGCCCTGGAAGAGGCTGCCCAGAGAGGTGGTGGAGTCTCCTTCTCTGGAGACATTCAAAACCCCCCTGGACACATTCCTGTGGGACCTGCTGTGGCAGGGGGTTGGACTGGGTGGTCTCCAGAGGTCCCTTCCAACCCCATAGTGTGGGGTCACCCCTCACACACTCACTTGCACCCCCATATACTGTTGTGTTTTTTTTTTTAAATCTCTGCTGTAAGAAAAGCAGTTCTGCTGCACTGGCTGAGGAGAGGGAATCTCTTCCCTCCCGGGGGGGATGGAAAAGCCCCAGCACAAGGTGTCCTCAAACAGGCTGGGGACAGCCCAAGGTGCCACCCAGTCACGAGAGCACCGCGGGCTCTGCCAAGTGCACACACCCCAACAACAAACACCCTTCGTGCTTCTCCTCCTCGCTCTGACATCCATTAACCCTCCCGAGACCCAGCTCCTGGCAGGCTCCTCACACTGCACAGCACCCTTAATTGTTCATTTCTGGTGTGTTCCTCAGAGCACACGATAATTGTTCATTTCTGTTGTGTTCCTCAGAGTACACGAACGTAGCAGAGACAGAGACACCCCTCCTGCGCGTAATTACCGCACGCGCTCGTTAAGCGCCGCGGTTATCGGCTGCTTTCAGAGCAGAGAGAACATATGGCAAAAACAACACCCGGAATTCAGTTCCCCAACCAAACGTTTCTGCACAAACACCAAAAAAAAAAAAAAAAACCCCAACCAAACACTCAAGTGAACCAGCAAGGCTGACTTCCCTCTTTCTCTGAATTTTAACCCCTTGGGTGTCGGGTTGTGAGGAGACGGGAAGGTCTGAGGGACGAACAAAGCCCCATCTGCCGCCTCCCCTTTGGGCTGTTCTTTTGGCTGAACTTCAAGTCCAGTTTCATCATTCCAGCTGCTCGCGCCCATCCTCTGCGCAGCAGCACAGGGAGGTGGGAGAAAATTAATAAAGATATGGAAAAACTGATGTGAAAGCAGCGGTGAGCAGGAGCGCGGGCAGCTGCCAGGGCTGGGAATAGACACAACCCACCCGGTGCCCGGTTTCATCATCTGGGAGAGCAGCCACGTGCCTGGAAAGGCAAACTCCTCCGGATAACCAGGCTCTGGGGGGAGCGAGGGGGACACAGACCCCTTCAGACGGAGGGGCCTCTGCGACCAGCCTCGCCCGTTACGTCCCTGGGGATCGACAGGGAGACACCCACAAGGTGTCTCCCGAGATAAAGGCTCCGTGCAGGGGCTGGGTGCTCAGCCCCCCCCGCCGCGGGCAGGGGTAACTCCCGCCGTCCGTTTTATTCTTGTTTGAAGGTGAAATTCCCCAGAGACACGAGCCCCGGGAGCCACGGGCAGCGCGGGGGGGCGGCCCGAAGGCAGAGGGAACCAGCCCCAACTCTGTTTGCAGCAGCTGGAGCTCTCAGAAGGCAGAGCCACTCGGGAGGAGGGGGAAAAAAAAAGGAAAAAAAAGAAAAAAGTGGCTGCAGGGCTTGGGAAAAAAAAAAAGAAAAAAAAGAAAAAGGAGGCTGCAGGGTTTGCTCCTTACCCGGGGAAACTGCAAATATCGGAATTAATGAGTAACCCAAAGCCGGGGCGGGTTTGAGAGCCGCTCCAGCAGCCTTGTTTGCCAGCACGGACACCAGGCGGCCGCCGTCCCGCTGCACCGGGGGAGGGGGAAGCCCCCCCGGTCCCTCGTTATCCCCCCCCTCAAGGCACCGCAGCGGCCCGAGCCCCGGGGAAGGGCCCGGCCCGGGGAGGGGGGACCCAGGACCCCCAGGCGGCTCCGCCCGGACACCCCCCGCCCCGCACAAGGGCCTGCACCGGTTTCATCATCTGGGAGAGCAGCCACGTGCCTGGAAAGGCAAACTCCTCCGGATAACCAGGCTCTGGGGGGAGCGAGGGGGACACAGACCCCTTCAGACGGAGGGGCCTCTGCGACCAGCCTTGCCCGTTACATCCCTGGGGATCAACAGGGAGACACCCACAAGGTGTCTCCTGAGATAAAGGCTCCGTGCAGGGGCTGGGTGCTCAGCCCCCCCCGCCGCGGGCAGGGGTAACTCCCGCCGTCCGTTTTATTCTTGTTTGAAGGTGAAATTCCCCAGAGACACGAGCCCCGGGAGCCACGGGCAGCGCGGGGGGGCGGCCCGAAGGCAGAGGGAACCAGCCCCAACTCTGTTTGCAGCAGCTGGAGCTCTCAGAAGGCAGAGCCACTCGGGAGGAGGGGGAAAAAAAAAGGAAAAAAAAGAAAAAAGTGGCTGCAGGGCTTGGTCCTTACCCGGGGAAACTGCAAATATCGGAATTAATGAGTAACCCAAAGCCGGGGCGGGTTTGAGAGCCGCTCCAGCAGCCTTGTTTGCCAGCACGGACACCAGGCGGCCGCCGTCCCGCTGCACCGGGGGAGGGGGAAGCCCCCCCGGTCCCTCGTTATCCCCCCCCTCAAGGCACCGCAGCGGCCCGAGCCCCGGGGAAGGGCCCGGCCCGGGGAGGGGGGACCCAGGACCCCCAGGCGGCTCCGCCCGGACACCCCCCGCCCCGC